ACACATGCCGAGCTTGTCCTTCTGTAACCATATTAACAATCAAAACTTTCGTGAGTGACTACATTTCATATCCGTAAGCCACAGCCTTCAAAACAACGCTATTAAAAAAGTGGTCACAATCCTTCTGGTTTGACAGTTTGAGGGAATCTGCGATGCTGTAGCATCTGCGCCAGTTAGTAGCCCTCCGAAGTGCATTCTCAGGCTGCAGATTTTGGCGCATATTTACCTTTTGTACAAGGTAAATTTGGCTATCAATTCTTATAAATCCACACTGTCTATCTACAATCTTGCCGAAGGCATCCTAGGATCTTGCATCGTCTTCGTTTTCGAAGGTCGAATTTACAGGCTCAGATTTGCTTTACCTTTCTTTGTAGTGCTCTGTTGTCCCCTCTTCTTTACTGTTGCTTTCAGTTATTACCTTCGAGCTCCTAACCAGTATCCTCTTTCCCCTTCTCTACACTATTTCCAGCCTCTGTCTCCAAGCAACATCCCACTCCACTTCGGCAACTGGCCAGGAAACGATCAGTACTCGGCAAATTCATCTCTCCTGATGATTCAGGAATTAAACGCCTAGTCAGCACTCTATTCGCATAACCCAGGCTGGAACGCACCAGGCTCTCCGGTGCGATCATGCGTTTCTGCACTAAATTCGCAGATCGCTATTAGCAAGAATGATCCCCACGCTGTAGTCTAAAACTTAGGCTCATATTGACCATGCTTTGGCCCCTTCCGGCATGCAGGAGGAAGGGCGTCAGTTGGGATAAAGGTGATGCATTATAGCGCCGCATGGACATCCAGATGCATGATTACCGGTTTTTTGCATGAAGTCCGGTCGTTTTTTCGGTAAATGCTTGCTTTGCGAAAAAATAAAAAATGCAAATTTTCCGAAAAAATGCAATTTTCCAGTTCACTAAAAAGTGGAAGTAGTTTTTGTCGCTACCGGCACCGGTTTTTCCGGCAAATGCTTCTAGCTAAACAAATTAAGATTGGCCGCCAAAACTGTTAGAAAACACCCCCTTAAAATTTCAGCTTTCTAAATTTCCTGGCTTCTGAGTTAGCAAACTACCCGAAAAAAAATTTGGCGGGCCCGTATGTGGGTACCACGCGTGCCCGAAATCATGGTTTGAGCTCAATGAGACTTAGGTGAACGGAGAATATTCTTTTAAAATTACAGTCCTTTAGCTTTTCAAATTCCCGAGTTATCAACTAAGCCGAAAAAAAATTTGGCGGGCCCATGCGTAAGTATCACGCACACCCGAGGGCTGGGTTTGAGCACATTAATATCCACTTGGACTGGGAACATCCCTTGACATTTCACCCTTCTAGCTTTTCAGATCCCTGAGTTATCAACTACCCAAAAAAAAATTTCACGGGTCCGTGAGTGGGTACCACGCATACCCAGGAGATGGGTTTGAGTGCATTAACACCTACTTGGACGGGGAACATCATTCTAAGACTTCAGCATTCTAGCTTCTCAAGTCCCCGAGTTATGAACTTATCCGAAAAAAATTTTGCCGGGTTCGTACACAGGTACCACGATTACCCGGGGATGGGTTTGAGCTCAATAATACCCACTTGGACGGGGAACATCACCCTAAGACTTCAGCATTCTAGCTTCTCAGATTCCCGAGTTATGGAGTTACCCGTAAAAAACTTTGGCGGGCTCTTACGTGGGTACCAAGCAGGTAATGACGCCCATTTTAGGAATTGAGGCTCGTACGTGCATGCAGATTAAGTCCCCAAAGTTTCAGCCCTGCAGCTTTTATAGGTCTCGAGATGAAAAATCGAGACAGACGCACACACAGACACACGGACACACAGACAACCCCTTGTCAATATGCGTTTTTGCATTGCATGGCTGCAAAAAAAACGCATAAAAACTCGGTTCGGCTCGGCTGATGACTGATGATGTTTGGGAAGCTGTCTATCATCTCTGCCAACGCTATTTCTTGGCTGTTCGCTCGCTCGAACAGCTTGGCATTTTGCCAGGCGCACCCGGTAGTGTTACCTAGTGTTTGGCGGCTGGATTGCGCGGCCGGGGTGGTGAGTGGGAGAGTTGGACGTGGTCCGGGGTGTTGGCTGGTAGGTGCTCAGATACAGCTCAGAGGGCGTAGATGAGGCCAGGATGGTGGGGAGGAATGACGTTGCTGATCAGGAGTTCAGAACGACAAACGGTGACAATGGTTGGAGGTGGTGGTGAGGGTGCTCCGATGTAGCTCTAGAGACAAGGATTGGGGACAGGATACAGGAGGGGAACAAGGGCGCTAGCCAGGAGCTCGAGGCAAGAACTGCAGACAGCAGTAAAGAGGAAAATAAACTAACACTGCACTACAAAAAAAAGTAAAATAAAACAAACCTGAACTTCTGAACAAAAGGGAAAAAAGCAAAATTAAAGAACTGGAGCCCGTAACCAAAACAAAACCTGAGCTTATGCGCGAAATTTTCTTACAAAAACCCGCCTTCAGTAAGCGATTCCCGCATTTATGAGGTTTATGCTTAGGTGAAGCTGAGGTCGAACAAATTCGACAGGATTTACTAAAGCTTATGCTTAGGTGAAGCTGAGGGCAAATAAGTTCGATTGGATTTACATAAGAATTGCATACAACTCCAAAGTGTTGTCTCCCGCAGCCTGCAACTGTGTACAGCAATTATATCTTTGTTTTTTGGCTTCATAATCTCATCGAAGCGAAGGTTGACTCCATCCCCTTGTATCTAGTCTACCCTGCTCTTGCTCACTTCATGGAACTTATTAGCTCTCAGCTTTACCTAAGCATCAGTTTCATAAACAGGAAAGTTCCCTAGTGATGACGGGTTTTTGTGGAACAGCTTTACCTAAGCACCAGTTTCATAAAAAAGGGAATCCCCTACTGATGACGGGTCTTTATGGATCAGTTTCTACTAGCAAAACCTGAATTTCTTTTGCTTTTATTCAGGAAGTCAGATTTGCTTTAATTTACTTTTATTTATGGCGCTGTGTTGTCTTTTCCTCTTTACTGCTGTCTCCAGTTCTTGCCTCGAGCTCGTGACTTGTATCCTCGTTCCCTTTCTCTACCCTGCCAGCAAACAATATCTAGGCCCCTCTCCACCCCCACTATAATAGTACTGTTCAAGCAAGCAGTATTTCACCTATGCCTATCTCAGGTGTCTACGGTAAAAACTAGGTGCACCTTTTCTCATCCTTTCTGTTCATCATCGCTCCCCTCTCCCTTCGAAATGTACGTTACATGGTCAACCGACAAAGGAGCTACGCCATTTAGTCCTTACATCCACTTATCCCAGCTCCCTCCACTGCCTCGAACGAAACTCGCCACATACTCCCCCTCCCCCTCACTTCCATCCGCCACATCCAAACTGTCGCCATCCGCCGTGAGGCAACCCTACCAGCCATCGGAAGAAAAAATTTTTTGCAGCTCGTGTATAAGACGGGCCGAGCCTACCCGAGTTATTGCAATTGCCGTGGTAGAGGTCTTGATGTAGCCGATCGGAGTTGCGCTTGCTTTTTTCCCCGAAGGTGGCGGGTGGTTCAGATATAGCGTTTTGGTGCTTTCTAGTATTCTTGAGCTCCGTACTAGCGCATTCTTTAATTGCGCCCTGACCACTCCACGTCGCTCATTGTTTTACATTTTCCGCTTAGTTTTTGATCCTCGGATCCCTCCAGAAGGATGGGGCTTAGCAGCAGTTCCGCGTCTTCCAGACCAATCCTTTGATGGCGTTCTTTTCAGGACTTACCACTGTGTGTTGTGCGCATAGGTGTCCACCTGTTGGCTACTTTTCGGAGGAATCCTTTTGAGGAAATGCTGGCGAAAGTTGTTTTCAACAGAGTGCCATAGTAGTGAAGAAGGGTCTCGAGCCGAAGACGTCGAAGAAGTGTGGCGGGATTATGCTTAGCTTCGTCCGTGTCACGTAGCATTTCAGCATCCGAGACTTGCGTAGTGAGTTAGCGTCGTCCACTTCGCTGACGGCTTCTCAGGTGAAAAGTGGCGAAGTGGTGAGGGTTGCGTGTGCGATAGTCGGCATCGAACGCTCCCAGTGATTTTAATTACGTGTACATGCTCGTTTTGTGTATGTGCTTGGTATACGGAAATGGCGTCACTGGGAGGGACAGAGGGCTCTTCAAGCAGCTCAAGCATCGTCCCTCCTGAGGCCGACCAGAAGCAGCTAGAAATCGTTAGCACTTTAATCGGCATGGAATGGCCGAGGATGTCAAAATTTTGCTACTTTAATGACTGACACTGTTCGGAAAAAAAGAAAAATAAGAAGATGCGCCTGTCTGCGCCTGGACATAATGTCACTGCTGTGTTCCGCCGCTCCTCCTCTTCTTTGAGGGAGGCCACTCGGGTTTT